GCTCTGCCTGCCTTGGCGACGTGAGGGAGCCTGGAGGAACCCTGAAGGCGTCGGTGAGAGCCCATCGCCAGGCAGAGCTGCTCCGGGGTCCGAAATCAGGCTTTAAAAATAACCCAGTACATCCCGGCTCTGTGCTCTTACCCCCAAACGGCGCGAGGAGCGACCCCCGGACGGCAGCCCCCCCTCCCACCCCTGCAGAACCCACCCGTGCCCGTGTGCTCTGCCCTCCAGCCCGGCATTCCCAAGCCCTTTCCTCGCTCTTCCCTCCTCGGCCTTCCCCAGCTGGACACAGGTGTGGGCAGCCCCGATGGGAGACCCCCCCGGTGCTCCCTCCGGAGGGGTTGTTGGGGACCCCGGGGTGCAGGGACCCACCAACAAATTTCCAAACCCAACCAACCAAAAAAAGGCCCGGGACTAAGGGGGGACATTTTGTTCAGCCGAGGAGGACTGTGCTGGCAACACGCCCGCAGCCAGAGCCTTTGCACCTAAACTGGGAGAAAATGGAAGGAAGAGCAGAGGGAAGAGGCTGAGCCCCGAGCAGGATGCGGGGCTGTGTCCGTCCTTCTGCCCCCCGCAGCCCCAGGTACATCTGAGCTCAGCTCTCCAGCCCCAGACCAAATTTAAGCCCCCTCCTCAGGGTGGGGGGGGTGACCCCTCCTCAAGCACTGCCTGTTCCAGTTGGGAGCAGGGCAGGGACCAGCTGGGAGTGGGATCGCACCCAGCGAAATCAAACAGTCACAGCAACAAACTGCGCTGGCCCTGGTTGACTTCCGTTTAACACCCTCTCTCCAAACACAGCCTTTGGTTCCCAACAGGAATTGCAACGCAAATATTTACTCCTCCAGCCCAGCTCATGCTTTTTAAAAGGGAAACTATGCGGCATCATCTGGAGCCGGCGGAAAGCTGCGCTGGCTTCCCTTCTTGCTCTCCTCCGTCGGTTGGAGTGAGCAGCTCCAAGGCAGCCCCTCTTGGGCTGCGTTTTCTCTCCCTCCCTCGCCTGGAGGACCTTGGAAAGTTGCTGGAGGACCTTGGGAGGTTGCTGGAGGGCGGCCGGAGGCGGTAACCTGAGCCGCAGCTTTCTCTGCCCCGAGGGATGCACAAATCTTCCATCCAGCTGCCCACCTCCGGGTTTAATTGCCTGACGGAAGGAAAACTACACTGATAGAAGGCTGGAAGCAGTTTCCCGGCCAGGGCTCTCCCTGAGGTCTCTTTGCCAGCCAGAGCTGCCCGGAGCCTTTGTGGGATGGGGCAGACGGGGCAGTCCAGGGTGCTCCAACTCTTCCCCGCAGCCAGTTGCTCCCCATGCTAAAAACACATATATATTAATAATAAAATAAGAAGCTGTTAGAAGAAGCCTGCAGCATGCTCAGCTGCATCCGAAGGCTGGGGTCTGCTCCCCTCCAGCCCCCTCCCACAGCCCCAGTATCACCCGCAGCACAGGCAGGTGATCACACGCAGCCCACGCGCTTGGCACAGAAAAGAGGTTCTTTTCTGGGAAAAAAAAAAGGGGGGGTGAGGGCAGGATACAAGCACCCCCGCTATCTGCAAGCAGCCGTTCCCACTCTGTGCTATCTCCTCTTGGATACGCGCTCTCCCTCGGGGGGCATTTGAAGAGAGGGCAGGACTCCCCAGCCGGGTAGTTCCCCGCGGCCACAGAGCTCTGGCTCTGCCCTTTTCATCTCCCTCCGGAAAACAACCCCGGGACGGTGAGTAGGAGCGTTTCACCCCCGCTAATAAACCGGGGAGAGGCAGCAGGGGGTGCTCACAAAGCAGCTTGGGGCCGGGGGAGAGGGGCAGGGAGTGAAGCCCCTCGGGGGAGCCGGCAGGACCAGCCCCCCCAGCAGCATTTCCTCCGCTCCAGTTAACGCCGCCACCGATTCTTCCCTCCCTGCTTGGGAGGCACAGCACGCACCCACCCTTAGGTAGCAGGAAGAAGCTCAAGAATTTGTCTTTCTGAGAAACCTTTTATTTGGCACACTCAAAGCCTAGCTAGCTTTTTTAAATCCAGAGCTAAACCATTCCTTCCTCCCCCCACTGAGAAAAGCCCGGAGTCCCGGGCTCCTGCCACACAAAGCTGTGCTCACAGGCAGGGCCCGTTGAAATTTCAGTTCTTCTCAGCAACACGTGGGTGTGGAAAGCCCAGCCCTGGGATTTACAGCAGCCTGCTGCAAACTTTTTTTTTTTTTTTGTTACTAGAAGCCGACTGACCACAAAAGTTTCATTGAGAAGGCCTCAGTAAACAGCTGGATCAAAGGCTGAAGTGCCCTGATTTCCGGGGCTGGGTTTAGGAGCAGCAGCTGCACCTCGGAGGTCTGAGCACTGCTCCGACCCTGGAGCTTTGCCAGAGGCTTTCACAGGAGCAGGGTCAGGGGCTGAACCAGGAACCCTGCAGTGTGGGGACAGATCATTTCGTTTCTCAACGCACGAACTCCCTCAGCAAAGCACCAGACAATCCTCTTAAGGCCTTCCAGAAACCTTGGCCAAAAAAATAAAAATAACAATAATACAAAAATAATTACAAAAATAATCCAGCAGCACAATATTCCGCTTTTGTGCCTCTCAAACAAAAATCCTATGATAACCTTTGCCCCCTACACCCCCACTCAGGGAGCACAAGGGACAGTAAGAAGCAGGGAACCTTTTCCTTTCTCCTCCTTTCCCAGCAGCCTAACTGTCCATCTGGCTCCCTGCTCCATCCTGGCCTTCTGGAGAGCTTCCTGGCTGAGGGGTAGACAAGTGTTCCAACTCGTAATGTCCATTCCTTGCAGCCAGGTGACCCTTTTCCCCTGCCAGCTTTTTCCTCTTCTTGCTCTCGATGATCTGCTGGAGCTGATGCCCGGCGTAGTCTGGTTTGGCAGTGAGGGGGGTGGTGGGTACAGCCAACCCCAGGATTTGGGACACCATGTAAGGTCGGAGCCAGCCCACCAGCGGGGTGCTGCCGGGGGTGTAGTGGGTTTGCTTGTGGTAGAAGAGCAGTCCATCGACCTGGAAAGAGGCAAGAAGATGAATGAAAAAGCTGAGGGCTTTCTGCAGGTGGATGACAAAGTGCCAGCTGACAGCCCAGCTCCTTGTGGACAGGCCAAAACTACCAGCTGGATCATTTTTCCTCCAGCAGTGCAATAAAGAGCGGAAAGGAAAGGAGAAACCTGCCGAGCTCCTGCCCTGGAGGAGCTTTAAATCAAAGGCCAACAATTCCAGCCCCTTGTCAGCACCGACCGTCCTGTTCTGTGGAAAAGCCACCAGGTTTCTGAATAAAGCAGCTGACAGAAAAGGCCACTTGCCTGGATTAAGGTTATTTTCAAGAATACATTTGGAGAGTAATTAGTGGGAGCGCGTGACGCCAAGGAGCCCGGGTTCCTAAGGCTGCTGCAGCTCTTTCAGCTGGCTCATGCCTAAGAAATTCCTCATGTTTCCCAAGGGAGAGCTCCTCCCGCAATCAATGACAGTTAAGGGCACTCTGGACTTTGAAGGTTTAGGCCCCAGCTCTTGTGCTGCTGTTTCCAAGCTCTGCAAGGCTGCAGCTGGTCAATATTCTCCCTGTGTCCCTGCTACGCTCTGGAATTGCCACCCCCCTCTTC